CTGCCTTTGCAGTCCTTTTTCATTGTGGAATGCTTTCAGTTTCCTGAGAAAATCCCACCTAAAAGATGATCTATTGGGTCTCCCCATAAAAGACAAAAGACAAAATATGGTAATGGGACACTGACCATCTGCCCAGACATCCCCACCTTAAGAAGACCTGGGTCAATGCAACAAACCCATCCACCCACTGACTCGTTAAAGAACCGCAACAACTAAAACAAGGAGACAGTAGCAAAAAAGCAAATGACTAGTGGACAGATACAGCAATATTTTTACTTCAAAGAGTAAGATTAACAGATTCTATGAGGTCCACTAAGGAATTGGCTATGGCTACCGATTTGGTCAAAGGTCCTCTGAGAGCATGGTGATAGATGCTACTATGCAACATTTTGCTAGCTAGGTAGAGAGATAGATGATAGATGGGTAGGTAGATTTTACAGCATCTCCATTGACTTGAGAGATGTTTAAATTTTTTATCAATGCAAATTCCCCTTTGTGCATAAAGTGATGTTTAAAGGTGATACTAAGGGCATCAGATAATTAGTTTGGAAAGAAACACAAGAGGACATTAAAATCAGAGGCAAAGGAGGGACATTTTCTGTGCCATGAATAACCTCTGCCCAATCAATTTCCACAGGGCAGCTTTGATCTCCTTGTTCCTCATGCTGTAGATGACCGGGTTCAGCATGGGAGGCACCACGGAATAGAAAATGTCCACCACGAGGTCCAGGCGAGATGTGGACGTGAAGATGGGTTTTAGGTAGGCGAACATGCCAGTCGAAAAAAACAAGGAGACCACAGCGAGGTGAGGGAGGCAGGTGGAGAAGGCTTTGTGCCGGCCCTGCTCCGAGGGGATTCTTAGCACCGCTCTGAAGATCTGAACATACGACACAATGATGAAAACAAAGCAGCTGACGATAAAGCAGGTACTAAATGCAATAACCCAAATTTCATTGCGGCCGGAGTCATGGCAGGCCAGCTTGAGTAGCTGGGGGATGTCACAGAAGAACTGATCCACCACGAGGCTACCACACAACGAGACGGCCAATGTGTTCCCAGTGTGCAGGGCAGAGTACAGAAAAA